TTTTTTTTTTGCAGTCTTTTCTTCTTTTGCTTTTTTCAAAACAACTAAATAAACTTAAATTTCGCCGAGGTACACAATTGAAAAGACCAAAATGAGCCTGGTAAGTGGAAAAAAATTGAGCATTCAAATCCGACATCTAACAACCTTCTTTTCGCAACAAAGAACTTCAAACAAACAACGCCAACAACAACAGCAACAACAAAAAGTGATAAATTTTCCATCTTTTTTTTTCTGGCTATATTTGCCAATAGCAAATAACAATTTTATACTTGTGAGATGTTCTGAAAAGGGACAACAGAAGAAAAGCATTTAAAATTTATTCACAGAGCTGTTTTTTTTTACAGACTGCACTGAAAATTTTTTTTCCAAAAAAACTTCTCGAAAGCAGAAAAAAACCGCAACAATTTATCAATGACTAACAAAAACACATACAGCTTTTTTTTACCATTTTTGCCTACTTCTCCTCCCCCTAAGAGAAAAACTATTTCCTCACCATCAGTCTTCCTCTACCCTATAACAACAACCAGTGAACATGCGATTGAACGAAAAAAAAAACAATAAAAACCTTAAAAAAACAATACTATGAAAAGGAATCATTTATTGGTTTTTCAATTCATATTTTTTTCACATCAAAACAACAACAGTGCAATATCATAAACTTCAAATCTGGGAGTGAAAAAAGAAGTTGGAAAAGCAAAATACAAGAAAAAGGGCAACGAGAACAAATATATGTCAACAAGTTAAAGCTCGCCAGAAAGCTTTTCATGCAATCACGCCTCTTTTTTTCCACACATACAAAAAAACTAATGGTTTGTAACATGTAGCAAAATATCTATCTTTTTTTCCTCCTCATTCCTTTTGGATAAACAAAAATACAATGTTAACACATTACTAATTTATGCAAACTCCTAAAATTTATCAGCCTTTCAACTGATACCTGCCATCTCATTTTTCGCCCCTACCTCCAATAAACCATCCATAAATCATTTCTTCCCTATATCCTCTACTAAGTACAGAAACACACATGAACATCGACTGAGACACGTATACCCACAGAGACAAATACACAAATAAAACAATAAAAAAAAGTTGCAAAAATTAAAGAAAAAACGATTAAAAAAAACAAAATAAAGCAAACCTGTCGTTCGGTAAAAGGCAGCAGTAACAAAAAAACGTTTGATACACATAAAAATATATAAACCTTACTGCGAAAATAATCGCAGGAAACTGCGACAATAAAAAGTAAAACAAAGACAAAACAAAAATACGTACAAAGCTAAGACAATAACACCTCAAATCTTTTTCTACGTAGAAAATTTACTAAAAAAAAGAAAATTATTTTCATGTCAACTGTATTCTTCATTATCACCATTTCTAAACCCATTCCCTGCAGAAATAAAGAACCACTATCACCGTTAAGGTACCAAAAAAAAATTAATGGAAACTGTCTGTTTAAAATAATACCTAAAAAGTTTTTCCAGTCTACAAAATGGTCATTTTAAAAGAGAAAATTTCAATCTCGTAAAAGAAAAACGTAAAAGACCAGTAACAAAAACACAAAATTTATAGAAAAGTAAGGCACACAAAAACGTGTACAAAGACAATCAATAATAAACACATGAAACTAAACTATTATCACAACAGCAAAATTGTAAACATATAAGTGAATAATAGAGTAACGTTTGAAATCAAACGCAAATAATGGCTACAATTTCGACTATGCACAGTAATAAAAAACTCGTAAAAACTGTCCCGCAAAAAATACGGCAGAAAAATTACGTAGTAAAACAATTTTTAAAAACTTTTTTGCATGAAGTAACAACATAATACATAACCGTTCAACCAGTGATTCCAAAAACTGGCTGCAGGACAAAGCTTGAAATTAAAAAAAAGAAGAGGAACAACTGTATCCAGTTTATTTTAACCGGTATGCCGACCAGAATCTGTCAACTAATTCACAGTGTTATTGCAATAAGTTTTAGAAATAGAAGAAAGCCAAAGACAATTTTCATCCGTATATAAAGCTCCTCGCAGGACTTCAGCAACATTCATGGAAAAAACTCCTTGACTTCCCAAGGAGGCAAAAATTTACAGCAGCAATAAACACAGACAAAATAAGGAGAACTGCACCTTTCAAGCATCCCAGTAATGAAATAAAATTGAAGCAACTGGGAGCACGGTGTGTTAGAAGTTTAACAATCGCGCTTTCGGGCAAAGTAGCTCATTTAAGGGAGATCGACATATCAGGTTGCTACATCTTTCACCACAGAATTAGCTAATAAAGCACATTCCCGATTTTCTGTCTGTAACACCAAATATAAGTTAGAGTGCTGGAAAAATATGTAAACTGAGCGTCTCTTTCGTAAAACGCTAAAAGAGCTTTTCAAAACAAACAAAAGTCACTTGAACGACTCTACCAAGTCTATTGAAACAACTGAACGTAATATAAAGAAATCTCCATGACAGAGCTCTCACTAAATCTCGTTCCCAAACGAAAAATAAAAAACTGTTGAAATTGAATTGTCAGAAAGACAACAGCTGTTAAATAACTGTTACTCGTCGTTCAAAAACCGTACTTTTTGGAAAGTTTGACAAGAAGCTTTTCATTGCATATCCAAAGCAAATGAGATAGGTATAAAAAAGTATTTGTCAAGGCTTTCAAAAAGGTCCAAACTACTTTCAACTTTGAATTTGGAAAATCATATATAATGATACTGCACACAAAAGAAGAATACAGTGTTCATCTTTAAAATTAAGTGGAGTGGCAAGTAGATTTCAAAATTACAGTACTCAAAAACCTCAAAATTGTTAAGTCGATGACCACTAATACGGAAAACCACGAATGAGAAGAATGCACCCAAAAAATAATATACACTATGTAGTTAGACTAAAAAACTTAGATGAAATTGAAACCAACAATAACTAAAAAAAAAAAAATGAAGAACTGACCACTTTGAGCCATGTTACATAGGATCATTTCCCAAAACAAAGAAAGCACATTTGAACAAGACTAAATAAAAAACACTAAAATTAAACAAAAAACTTTGATATTTTCTCCTCATCAATTACAACCCTGTCCATTATTTAATCAGGCTCCCTTCACTACCGATTTAAGCATCACTACATCGGGACAGAAGCTGACAACTATAAAACTTACTGAGCGGTGGATGCTCGCTATGAAGAATTTTAAACAAAGTCAGGAGAAATCTAAAAGAATTATAAAAAATAGAAACTGGAAAAATAGTTAGGTAAATGCTTGACAGTTATTCAAATATTTCATCAACAAGCAGTTTTGAAAACTACGAACCACCTGAAGTATCTGTGTAGCCTTTATTTTTAAAACAGTACTTTTACGAAAACCATATCAAAGCAGATTTAACATCGACAAAAAAATTATTGAGAAACGACACTGTTAGTCATTATCTCCAGCGTACATTATCAATATCCTTTCCACACTACCAGTCTTATCCCAATTATTCTAAATAAGGTTCGGACCTTCAAAAAGCTACCGTTTACGCATCCTAAATTATAGAGTGCAGTATTTCCAGTCACCGTCGTCATTCCTAATCTACCATTTTTTAAAAAAGCAGAAAGCAAGTAAACATTGAACAAAAATTTTACTCTCCTACAAATCTGAGCAAGAAAAAAATTTAGAAATCACTCAATGCATTCAAAAATGACAAAATGCGCAGGCAAATAAATTGCCTTTTGACCGTTACCAAAAAAACCCAAGTAGTTTTCAATAGCTTTTGACTTCCTTCTTGAGCATTTCTTACGATTAAAGTATGAGTAAAATTAACATCTCAGAAAGCAATATTTTGAATGTACTAGACCCAAATTTAAAAGTAAATATTTAATTAAAAAAATACAATTTCGCTTCAAATCAACAAAAATTTAAGAAATAAACCACCCAATATTTCTTACGGTAGATTTGAATCCATTTCATTGAGGAATCCCTAAATTCAAAAACTAAACAAAAAGTGCAGCTTATCGCAGCATTTCACTAAAGGCTAGTCGACTGAAAATCAAGGGTAAAACTGTGCTAGAAAAAGACAATCTTGAACACAACGTTAGAATTGAGGAAAAAAGGAAAAAAGGAAAAAAAGTAATTGAGGAAAAAAACTGACAAAACCTTAGAAGACAAAACTTACTGAATGTTCCTCAATAAGTCAAAAAGGTAAAATCTGAAACCAAATAAGAGCAACTGAAGGTAGCGCTGATTTATAAAAATTAAATATTTTTGTAGTTACAGTCGTGTTTACTTGGGAAAAATTTGGAGGGACAAAACCTCATAAAAATGAACAAAACTTCAAATAAAAGAAGTTCTTACCAAATAAAATTGATCGTAAAGTAGAGAAAGCGGCATTTGCAACAGAAGAAAAAGTTTCCATTTGCAAAAATCTGGTAAAAATGTCCTATACAACTGTCACTACAGCAGAAATCGCCCTGCAGCAACCATTCTATGATAGTAGATTTTGTCGAGCCACTCTTAAGCTATTATTCAGTAGAGATTTTCACTCTAACAACAGGCTCCACTTTATAATATTCTGATATATTGAAATACAGTTTAGCCACCACTTCTGTCTATATCCGTTGCTGAAAAATAAAGAAATAGACGTTAAGTTACTGAATGTTACGAAAAAACTCATAATCGACAAAAAACATATAGCTAAAGCCGACTCACTGTATAGCCTTAAAACGGCAAAAAAAATTTAAGACTGAAATAATTGACCGCTCTGACACACGTCTAGCCCCCCAAAAAAATATTCCACAAAAAAAAGAAGCTTTTAAGAAACGTCAGTTACTAAAAGAAATAGAAAAAGCATATCAAATGGAAACCTGCGGAGGGTCTATAATTTTACTATATATTCTTGAAGGTGAAGAACGTGGTACGCTTTCTAAACTCAGTCCAACGCTGTCACAAGCTCCTACATGACGACAAAGAATCACTTTAGATGTCCCATTAGAACGCAAAGTCACAACACTATCTTCAAGCTAGAAAGCATATGACAATTTAAGAAAAAATTCTAATTGTGCTTTTTTCTAACCTACACTTCTTCTATGTCCTGAATAAAACCCAACCACTTACTACTACTGTTGAACTCCGATCACTTTCACTACCGTGATTACTCGCCATAGATATTGAAGAAAGAGTGCTGCTTGAGAGTGGCAAATGTTGTTCAGGAACTACTAAGGAAGGAAGTTCGTTTTCACCGCTTCCAAACTGTACTCCGGTCCAGGGGGCTGAAGACCTAGCCTGCAAATAATTGTTTTAAAAATAA